TCTATGGAATTCTCATGTGGAGAGAGGGACACAAATGCATTCATTTCTCATTTCAATTCCATCTTCATTTCTAAAATGAAGATTGTTTTTTCTCTTTTCCCCTCGACAGAAGATCTTCGAGAAGATTCAAAACTACGGAAATTGTAAGATAGATTGAAAAATACAAAACTATCTGCTTGTTTTGCTATCATTTTCCATTGTTATGTACCTTCTTGTTAGTCTTTCGTTTCTTCCGAAAACGTCGAGATGTCAGTCAAATGATAAAAGTCATTTTCGTTGATGATTTTGAATATTTCTTTTTCCTTATTCGTCTCAAGTCTTTCCTCGAGTGCCTGTCTCTTTCTCTTCATCTGTCGAATTCTTTTTTTGCACGTTACCCGTTTTGTGGTCTTCCTCCTCTTCGAAAACTACAGAGAAGTGTTTAATGATGTCAAATTGGATTTCCTTTTTTTCCAATCAGGATTCACGTTTTCTCTGTCGTCGTCGTTCTTCGCATCTTTCTAACCGTCTTCCACTGAGTTAATAACAATTCCAACGTCATCTTCATTGTCAGAATCGGTCTGGTCCAATAGAATGTCGTCGCAGAACCAATTCATCCCCATATTCTTTAGCATTTCGTGTCAACAGTCACACTCTTTAAGAAGCTCGAAAATTTCTAACTGTTCGTGAAAATGCGAAGAGTTCTCACAATGTAGTTAGCTCTGTCTTTTACGTTCTTTTATACTTTCAATATGCAAATCTTGCAGTTTTTCGTCGTTTCTCTTTAGTTCTTCTGTTACGTCTATAGAAGCACACATAGGAACTGAGTGACTTCTGCAGTTGTCCGTCTCAGTGACGTAATCGTCTTCATCCGAACATCGGTAGTCTGTTCTACAACTGGAAAATTCTTCGGATCGTCGTTCTTCCGAATTTTCGGTTGTTTGCTCTTCGGAAATCTGCAATATAAATTGTAATGTAAGAAACAACTGGATAAAGAAAATTTGAGAAATTGAATCTAATTTCTAATAATAAACGTGATTACAAGTTTAATTAATCATAATTTATCATATTCTAGAACATTTGCCAAAAAGAAAACTTTGAATGTTTGAACGTCACGTGTTCGTTCGATTTCGAGTGCGGAGTCGTTAAAAACTGTTTACACAACATTCAAAATTTAAAATTTAAAATAATTATTCAAAATAAAATTTTAAAAAAGTATCAAGAAAAGATTTAGTGATGTAATAGAGTCCACTTGTTGACATAAAAAATGTTGAGTCTATGTTTATATGTAAAAAATGTCTAATACTTTCAAGTGCTTAGTCAAAATATAAGGCTTAAACGCTTGAAATTATTAGACATAAATATAGGCTCAGCATCTTTGGAAACTGACGAGAACCAATTAAGTTGGCTGAAAACATTTTTTCGTGTGCATATTACAAGCAAAAAATTAACAATTTACTTTCTCAAATAGAAATTCTATTTTGAAATTGAACAAAATTGGTGTGATTCAAACAGATTGGTTAATCAAACACTTACAATAGGAAGTTGAGAACCAACTTTCCTGAAAGAGTTGTAGAAACAGTTGTCCAGGCTCTGCAGTTAGATATTAACATTTATTAACAGAAGGTACTCGGCAAATAATTACTAGATTATCAAAACACACCTTATGTTGCCGAGATAGTTTATTGAAAACAAACTAATGTTTTCAGCCTATTCCACAAGCCATTCTCAGGTTAAACCAGAAGATTGGAACATCGGTGTTCCAAAAATAGAATACGTGAATTTAAATATAAAAATGATAACGGAAAATAAGAAAACAGCAGAAAAATTATATATATAAATATCAAAGAAAAACAAAATTAGATATAATAATAAAAATAAAAATAAACATCCGCTAAACATTAATAGAAATTATTAAGGTATACAGTATTCATAAAACATTAACTCGAATAATTTAGCGATTGTTCAAAAGAACAATCTAATGCCGATATCGAGATTGTTCTAAATACAGAAAAGGATCTTGAAGCCAAATAATGGTTAAGAATTAAGCACCTTTCTTACTTCAGTATCGAATCGCGTCTGTAAAAATAGCGTCCGTTATTCCGCGTGTTGAATACAATGAAACACTGCAATATTTTGATTCAAATTACTGTATTACAAATCGGGCATCGACAGATCTCAATATCCAGTAATGATTCGAAAAGTTGATTTATTTCAAATCTTTTTGTTCTAAAACCGATAGAACGTAGAACCGTTTGGTTGAAAACGTTTTAGAAAAGAACGTTTAAATTTTAAAAAAATGACGATGTGTTCGAGCCAAAACTTATAACAAAACAGTTAAATAAAAATAATTTTTGAACAATTATCCTTATTTGACATTATGAAAAATTTAAATATTATAAACAGAAACATTTTTTTTGTCACAAAAAATTCGTATGACGCATGCATCTGATTTCGTATTTAATTTCCAAAGCGGCGGCATAATTTGTGGATGACAAATTAACTTTTAAATATTTTAATTATGTAAAAGATAATCATTTTTACAAAGAAATTTTTTATGGATGAGTTAAAATCTTTTACTGACTAGACCTCTAGTCATAGAGATATCATAATCCGTCAGGTTGGAAAATATCCAACCTACTGTGGTTAAAAAGTATCGGGAATGGTTTATTTAAACCGGAGTCGATAGATATACAGTACTAATCTCTGAGCTATGTCCTAAAGTAGAGTTAGTGTGTCAGATTGCCGATAGCTGGAGCTAGAGTTGCTTTGCGGCTAGAAGTTGTTTTATCCATTTGGTTAATAGGTTAATTTTTACCGTTTTTAAGCATTTTTGTAATTTTATTCCGCGAGAAAAAGAAACAAGAGAATGTCGAATAAGTGTTTTTTTGACGTGTGTAAGTCTGGCTACTACAAATCTGGTGAGAAGTGGCATATTTTTACACCATTTTCAAACCATATCTATGGACTCTGGTTTTATCCATTTGGTTGATGGACAGTTTTCATATTTTTAAGCAGTTTTGTAATTTTTTCTACTGTTCTGTCAAGAAAAATCTTATTCGTAATTACATCTTTTAATTTTATATCGTGTATAAAGAAATAAAAACTATATTTGGTTTTCAGAAAAAATAATAAGATGATTTGAAATTACAGAAGATGTGGATAAATCGAAAATATAAATATTTTCGATTTATTCACATTTTCTTATTCGATTTAATTTATCCTGGTTTTAAATAGAGATCTGTTTAAAACTGTTATATTGTAACATATTGTGAATAATGTTTTGTACATAATGTTCTGTGTATAATACAGTAAATAAAGTTGCATTTCTCTGTTCTATTTTATTATATAATATGGCAATATAATTAGAAAAGCTTTAGCTTATCCTCTGATACATTTAAATAGCCATATAAATTTAATTTAGATAAAGACAAACTATTTTTTTAAATAATTTAACTTAATAAAGTATGCTATACAATTTTACTTTTAAAATTTATTAATTAAGTTTAATTTTAATGTTGCTCGCATTTTCTCCAAAAGAACAGGCTGTCACGACTTCTGATTGAATATAGAAACGAGGAAGAATAAAAACTAAAAATCAACATGATTGGTGTACAAGATGATGTATATATGTGCCCAATCGTAATAATACATCAGTGAAATAAAGTGCTCTCTGGAAGAAAGAATAGCAGAACATGAAGCCGCCATCTCATGTTGGAAGATAAAACTTTTATTTGGTTTTAACATTGTGCTAAAAATAACATTAAAATATTATGTAAGGAAAGTAACATATTAAAAGCGGAATTAAAGAACACTATCCAATAATAAAATATGATAATATTATTAATTTAAATAAAGGTATGGTGAGAGATGCATGCTGGGATAATATTATCCTAGTATAAAACATCATGCGGTTAAACTTATAATATGGTATCTATAGATTAACAAACGAGCGTGCAAACTTTAACTTTGTATAAATCTATCCTCTTGCTGAAGAGACTTCGGCTCTGTCATTAAAAAGAAAAATGTATTTGGAGGTAGCATTAGTTTGTTGATATTTAAATAAAACACTTTTCTCCCTTATTTTCTGTGTTCACATGCGTTGACTTGCCTCTAAAGTCTGTGTAGGAAGAAATTGATTCCGAAAAATTCTTTTCAATTGTTCATTTAATAATTAAAATTATACCGATCTCACTAGTAAAAATTTTTAAACTTTATTTTTTAAAAGAACTTTTTACCTCCTGTTCGGAAGCTCGAGAAAGTCGAGCAAGGAACTCTATATATGCAAAGTCCGATATATCAGGACCAATACATTGAAAATAAACTGCATATTTATCTTTGTATTAAATTCTTGAACTATTCTTAAAAGTAAAATCATGATAAAAGTAATTTTTAAACACGCTAATGTTGAGGCTTTTTAAAAATTTTTTTAAAAGTTATTGTGAAAGTTTTCAGTGCCAAGTAATATAGAAAGACCGGCTTGAGTTAGTTGCAACACAAAATAACTTTTGCGTTTTGAGAGCGTTAGACTGAAATATATAGAACTTTTTGGACTAGATAATGTAGAATGTTTTTTAAAATGACTTGTTTTCGTGCCCTAAGAATTAGGCCAGGCTGACAATAAAGAATGTCAGGTATGAAAAACGAAGCCCGATGCGTCAACATTTCTGAGGATTAGAATCATAGAGATACGAAACTGGATCCGGCGGAGCTTGGCAGTCGAAGCATCTGCAATTTTATATTACAACTCTCATTCTATTGAATTTATTCTTTTTTCGTTTATGAATTGAAAAATTTCCTAAAATTAATTAAGAAAACAGCTGTTTAATCTAGAAATGCATATTAAAATCAAATATTTATTGTGAACTTTTTCTTAAAGTTTATTAATGTATGACTTTTAATGACTTTTAAAATAAAATATATTTAACTGTTATTATAAATATGTAATTATCAATGAATTTAAAAAGTTTTATATATATAATTTTTTATATTTAATTTTTCAATTTTATCTCCCTCTTCTGGCCATTTTCGAAACTAGAGTTTAGGTTTCTTCTTTAGCGTGATAGGCATTTTGTAAATTTTTAAGTAAATTGTTAAAATGTCAGTTTGCACGGAAGAAAAATTCTGTGAAACACCAAAGTGTGAAAATACTGCTCGTCTTCGATGCCCTACGTGCATTAAACTCGGTATAGAAGGATCTTACTTTTGTTCCCAAGTAAGTAACATTGAAAAAGAAAATATTTGAAATGTCATATTTTTATATCAGATTTCTAAAATATAAACTATATTTGGCATTAATTTATTCCAGTTGATTATATAAAATTTAAAATCTATAAATTAATCAATTTCATTGTGTAGAAATTCATCAGTTTCGACCACGTGACTTACCTATTTTAGAATCGTTTCTCTTTCCAAAATTTATTTTATCTATTTTTACACCTTTAAACATTTTTCAGACGAATGGTTAAATGGTTAGATAAACATTTAAACTGGTTTTTCTATATTTTACTTCGTTTTTTGAATTGGAATATATTTTTATCAATTTTTGTAAGTTATAAATTAATTTTATTTGCAAATATGTTTAATTATATTTAAATTATAATTGTTTTAATAATTATAATATAAATAAGTTAAATTTCTCAAAAGTTTATGATAAAAAATTGAAATTTTAATACATTTATTTGTATTGTTTCTTCTATTTACAGAAAGTTTTTAGTTTAATTGGCCATAATTATGCTTTGTATAATTGTTCTTGCATATTTATGCAGTTCTGGTACTATTAAGAATAATTATCATTTTAATAATAATATATATGCCAAAAAAAAATCCAATCCTTAGCATTTCATACATGTAGATTAAATTTTCCATAACTTGCATTTTCGTTGGATGAGACATCTTAGATTACACTTTATTACAACATATCTGATAATGCTTTGACAGTCTTAATTCATTCTGATTCATTTTTGTATAATTGTTCTTGCATATTTATGCAGTTCTGGTACTATTAAGAATAATTATCATTTTAATAATAATATATATGCCAAAAAAAAATCCAATCCTTAGCATTTCATACATGTAGATTAAATTTTCCATAACTTGCATTTTCGTTGGATGAGACATCTTAGATTACACTTTATTACAACATATCTGATAATGCTTTGACAGTCTTAATTCATTCTGATTCATTTTATTTAATTTTTTGTTGCACTCATCAATTAATGTAATAAATAATATTTAAACACATGGTTTTACTTGTCAATGATTTGTATTTTTAATTCATACTATTTTCTGATCAATGTAAGTTTGATTCTCTCATTGATGTTTTTTGAACTTTGTAATTGCAAATAAACTTGCTACATTAACCATCATGTATGCAACACATATGAGAATTTCTAACCTAGAAAAATACACAGGGTAAACTTATATGTAGGATGCAAAATGCAAAGTTTTGTTAGAATGGTAAACAAGTGGAACAACATTTATAAAATTTCTATCCATTATTTACTGTATCTCCAGCAGACTATAACAAATATTTCCAACTAGAATGTGTGTTTGATAAACTTACTTAACATAGAGATTAATAGAATAAAAAATTTCATGTTAGGAACATTATACATTGTTGTTTCCAACAGTTGTATATTATGAATTTGAATTTTATATCTGATGTTAGAAGCTTGTACAGTATATATATCTTCAAAATTCTAAAGATATGATCTATATATAACACTTATATTTACAAACTATAGTACAGTATTAGGTTTTAAATTTTGGTCAATTGATCAAAATTTAAAGATAAAATTTTATTTATATGTTACCGCTAAAGCTCGAAAACTCGTTAATCTGCAGATTACCTAGCTAATCTGCAGATTAACTATCGTGATCCGTTAAAGTTGCTAAAATTGTTCTATTTCTCAAATTACCTAGGTAATGTGCAGATTATCTAGGTAATCTGCAAATTACCTACTAGGCATTCGGTAAAGTGAAAATAAGATCTTTGCTGAAACAACAGCAACGTTTCTGTACGCTTAAATTAACATAATGTTCTTTATTTAATTTTCGATATCTAAAGAATCAAGTTAATACAATCAAACAATCGACAAATTAGTTGATAGAATCAATCACCAACCAATTAAAAAACACAAAAAATCAAACGATTTAAAATATTAATACAATTAGGGAAATTATTATATAGATAACCACCTATGGAATTTTGAGACTTTGAGTATCTATCTGAACTGAGGGGAGCGAGACGACTTCAACGATACCCTACTTTTGGACCGGAGACGAAAAATAATAAAGTTATCATACTTTTTCTGGTGATCGCATGATGTAATTGTGCAGTTAATGTTACCTATGGTGAGTAAAATGGCGGCTCGTCTCTGATTCCAGCAAACAGAAGAAAGGAAACAGTGGGGACGCACGTTCTGTCCTAACCTAACCTATTTTAATAAATTACCATAATTATTACCAACCAAATTATTAGAATAGGTTAGGTTAGGTTTGAACGTGCGTCCCCACTGTTTCCTTTCTTCTCTTTGCTGGAATCAGAGACGAGCCGCCATTTTACCCACCATAGATAACATTATCCAATTGTGCAGTCTAAAGATTGGTGACACTTTGAATTTCATAGCAATTGGTTTCTGCGACAAGCACACCTATTTGTGGTACATTTATTTGTGGCAAAGATCTTATTTTCACTTTACCGAGTGCCTAGTAGGTAATGTGCGGATCACCTAGATACTCTGCACATTATCTAGGTAATTTGAGAAATGGAACAATTTTCACAACTTTAACGGATCACGCTAGTTAATCCACAGATTAGCTAGGTAATCTGCAGATTAACGAGTTTCGAGCTTTAGCGGTAACATATACATTATTTTGTCATACATATAAAACTAATTCAATTTAGAGCATTATTATTATATGAAAGTTTAAGATTCTTATGTCATTGTAAAAAATGAAATTTTTAATAATTAATTAATTTATACAAGAACTGTTAATTATTAAAATTTATTTTTTACTATGAAATACACATATAAGAACAAATATTTTTTATTTACAAATGATTTTTGCTTGATTTTGATACATATTAAAACTGTGTGCAAATCTTTCAAAAGTAAATTTAAACACAAATATTTATTAGGCATTTAACATTAAAGCTCAAATCATTAAATAAAAAATATTGCATAAAAAATAACAATAAAATGTAAAAACAGACTATAAATGCCACATACTAAAATTAAAGATCATGTCTATTAAGCACGAAGTTCATAACTGATTGTACAGTACATAGAGAAAGATTTTCTACGTTAAGTAATGCAAATTATTTATTTTCTTCCAGCTAAAAATTGTATCATTTTCCACTTTAGCCTCTTCCAAAGACATTTTGAAGCTTCTTCATTTGTTTACAGTTAGTTCTTTTCTGTATTAGGAAGAATATTAGCTTATTCCTGTTTCCTGAAACTTTTTCATCAGGAAACATTGTATATACTGTACTTTATTGGAAGAATGAAATTGAAATTTGAATTTTGATAAAAATTTGTAAATTTATATTTCAATTTAATAAAATGCATTTCTTATTGCTTTATAATGTTAAGTGTGTAAAATATATATATATATATATTACACATATATATATTACATAAAATAAATTTGGAGAAGTGATAAATAATTTAAAATGAAGTTGTAGTAATTCACATATACACTATTAAATACACCTTGTATGTTTGGATGTTTGGTTATTTATTAAACCATTTTTATATACAAAACTGTCTATAATTTTATATCATTAGGCATGTAAAATAAAACTTTGATCATCTTAAAGTGTTAATTAATTAATAGCAAGGTTGCAGCTGGAGTTTTCATGTCTAAAATGTGAATGTCAAGCGCTGCTTACAAGATAGTGGTGCTCAATGTTCAAGTTTTAGAGATGAAAACTTCAGGTGCAACCTCGCTAATACCTTCTGATCATCATTGAATAATCAGTTAATTTTCATCAAGTGTTAGAATAAATTAATGTACAAGGAATAGAATAATAATTAAAAAACCCCAGTAAGTATTGTTCAATGACTTTAAAATATTTATATTTTCATATAAAGAGATTTACAAATAAAAAGAAAAATGTATTAAATAATACAATAATAATGTCAGTATATCATACAACATGTCATTAAAGATTAATACAATTAAGTTAATTAGAATGCTATAATTATTATAAATGTAGGTAAAACAATAGTTCAATCAATGTTAACTTGCTTATACAGTAAGATCTCGTTTAGCACTTCCTCAATTAATGCTGATTTGATATAATGCTGTCTGCTCAAAGTCTAAAAGAATGGTCAAACTTTACATTGATTCAAATTATCGCTGCATTTCATTGATTTGTATATAATATGATTATTCTCGAACACAAACCAATCAGCAAAAGGTGGCAATTCATAGTAGCACTGTACTTCCCCTAAATCTATGTTTGTTTGGTGCAATTTTGGAAAAAAATATAACATGGATGCCATAGCAATATTAACTTCACTTGGCAAGAATTAACTGATAAATCATGAATGGAGTGTGGAAGAAGATATGGCTGGAGGTATCCAAGGATTCTCAATGAGAAGAGCCTATTGTTGACCAAATTGTCAACCTAATTGATACAGCAGAACTAAGAGATGTAGATGAACAGGATATTGAGGAGTTACTGCAAGTTTCTGGTGAGAGTCTTACCAACAATGACCTTCAAGAAATGGCAGAACAAGGAATTCATGTAGAACTGGAAAATAGTAATTCTGAAAACAAAGAACCCAAAGAACTTTGCTACAGATTTAGTAAAAGTTTGGTAATGATAACTGGAATCATTGATCAAATTGTAGCGAATGATCCAGATTTTAAAAGGAATGCAAAAACAAGACGAGGTGTTTTGGATGCAATCTCCTGCTACTGACATTTGCTTAAAGAAAGAAGGCGATGAATGACACTAGGTGACTTCATTGCAAAAAATCAAGAATTTTAGAAGAGCCAGTGGCCCACCAGTTTTGTTCCCTGAACACTGGGGGTTTAGTTATGGGTTTGCACCTTGCCAGGACAGACTGGCCACATGGAGTTTTCTGCATTTTCTCCACATCTGGAATACCTGAATAAGGATTAACCTATAAAACCTATTGTTAACCTATCCTATTAACCTATAAAACCTTCCTAGTTAACCTATAAAAGACCTCCCGGAAT